CATATTGTTGAGTGAAAGAAGTCAGGCATAGCAGATTTTAAGTTCCTAGATAAGAAACACTGGATTATATGGTTAGAAGTCAGGATAATGGTCACCTTTGGGGAGATAATATTCAAGCTTGAGGGGGGCTTCTGAGGTACTGGCAATTTTCCACGTTTTGACCCGAGAGTGGTTACACGGATGTTTTCTCTGTGATGTCATTAAACAATTTATGTTTTGGATATTTTTCTGCATGTTTGTTACATTCCAATTTTAAACAATTAAAAAATTGATAACACTCCATGATTTGAAAACAGTCAGCTAGGTCAACTAGGAGCAGACAGTTTACCAAACAAATTTTTTTGAGTACTTACTATGTATCCCTTACTGGCTAGTACATATGGGGATTTCAAATGAATAACATGTTGCTTTTGGTGTGAAGAAACTAAAAATATTGCAGTCCATAATAGGACCATATGTGGGGAAGGGAGGTATGAGAGAGGGGAGATGAGTTCCTGTTTCAAAATCTAGAAGAGAATTAGGGATAGTTTCCCTAATATACCCAATCCCCAATTTTAGGATATCTACACATTATATTAATAGTATCTTTACTTTAGTCACGAATCTAATCATACTTGAAAGAATAAGACCTAAAGAAAATTAAACAGCAACCACAAAGAAAACCAAGTTAAAAAAAAACTGAATTAAGAAACTTGTTTACCTATTAGTTTCTCTCTTAAGCTAATATAGGAAGTGCATTCTGCTCGTGGGATATTGAGTATATTTACTCTATAAAGTAATGCGTCAGTGCTCTGCTGGTGAGATCAGTAGGAGATAGGTATGGTTCGCAGAGAAAAAAAATCTAATTCAATATTGATAAAACTTCAAAGGGAATTTTGATGCCTAAAACTTGTTCTAGAATGATTTTTGAAAATTATATAGCAGGCTAAATTATTCTTTGGGATATCATGTGAGAAAATTTGTTAGGCTGACATGAATGACACAAATACATTAGCAAAAATGGCATTTGTCATTCCTTGAATTAATTATCTACTGTATCAAAAAGGCTTGGATAAGTAAAGATATACAGTTACTGTTCTTTCTGTTTCTCAAAGATATTTTAGTTAGGCAACAGCATTAATGATTTTCACGTAAAGCCTTCAGCATTTCAATAGTGTGTCTGATGTATTTAAGATAGCTCATCAGAGATTTAACAAAATTGATGTTGAGATCCAGCATTTCTTACACCAATGAATATGTCTGAAAAATGTACGTGGGAAAACAATGGTTTGAAAACCAGGAGTTACTCGTGAGGGCCATGAACACAGAGATCGGCCACAAATCTTGGCCAGGCAGCTGCTTTTATGACCCCATTGGCAACGAGTGTCTTCTATTTGACAGAAATAATATACCACACACGAATCTCTTACTAAATTCAACTTTCCCCAAATGCTTACTGAGATTTATCTTGCATAGAATGGATTAAACTTTCAAGGCTTGGTAAAAAAGCATGGATTCATTCCCAGCTGATCCACTAAATTGAATGCCAAGCTCATGTCATGCCTGAAAGGAAGCCTCTAACAACCGTTCTGATGACTCAGGAAGAGATGGCATTCTATGCCACTCCAAGATGCTAGGACTGAGGCTTCAAAAATATCTGTTTGTGCTGGCGCCTAAAAT